CATTTTTGAGGTCCCCATGAGGAAACAAGCTTATAAATCATACAGAATGAGTTTTTTTGAGAAAGTAAAAATGCACAACGTTTCCTGTGAGGGGTAGGTTTAGGGGTAGGGTTGGTGTAGGGCAATAGCACATACAGTTTGTACAGTATAAAAACCATTACGTCTATGGAATGTCCCCATAAAACATGGAAACGCAACATGTGTGTGTGTGTGTGTGTGTGTGCGCGTTTTTGTGACAAATGAGGACATAAATTTGTATAATGACAAAGGTATGACAGGTATTACAAGGAGAAGGTGACTTTTCAGGACATTACCCCATGTCCCCACTTTTCAAAATGCTTATAAATCACACAGAATGGAGTGTATTGAAAATCTGAAATAGCACAAAGTCTCCTGTGAGGGGTAGGTTTAGGGGTAGGGTTGGTGTAGGGCAATAGAATATACGGTCTGTACAGTAGAAAAACCATTACGCCTATGGGATGTCCCCACAATTCACAAAAACAAACCTGTGTGTGTGTGTGTGTGTGTGTGTGTGTGTGTGTGTTTGGGCAAGATGAGAAAGGAGGGAGACTTCATAGAGTTTAGTGTTCAGTTATGTTGGGATTTAGTTGAGATTTAGATCCATTTCAATTACGTTGGGATACCACTGTAGTGAAGAGAGGAGCTTTTTTTAGGCTGAGGGCAGATGTAAACATTAATGGATTAAATCCTGTCAGGGAACCATATACAATCACTTTGAGACTTCTTAATGTGGTCACTTCAAAATAACTTCATTTGATGATGTGCAAGTTACGTGAACAAATTATGTTTGTATTAATTGATGCATGTGTTACTGATGTACAGTAGATGATTAAACCATGTAAATCCAACACACTTTGGCAGGGATGCCAAACTCGAGGCATTTACGCTAAAAATCGAAAGCTTGTTATGCATTTTAGCTGTTCATTTACACAACAACTTCATTTTGGGGACCTGAAAATGCAAACTTTTGAAAATGGGTTTCGAAGTGCAAGTTTTTGAAACCGCTATACCGTTATCGTCTCTGTGTAAACTACAAAAACATGAATTTGTGAAAATGATGGCATGCGCATGTGTAGATGCGTAGCGTTTCTTTACAAAGCAACATTGCCAACTAACCAGCTGACATGAATAATACAGTGCTTTTAGTCATTTTCGCGGATCTGTGTGAACGGGGATCATTTTGACAACGTTGTAATTTATATGCAAAACTTTTCAAAAATGCAAATTTAAAACTTCCCATTTTTAGAAAATCATTGTTGTGTAAACTTACCCTCAGTACCTGGAGAGTTTAGCTTCAGCCCTGATTAAATGCATCTGATCCAGCTAATCAAGGCCTGGATTATTTGAAAACTCCACGTATTGGAGCGGGTTGGAACTAAACTCTGCAGGACCGTTGCCCTCTAGGAGTTTGGCAACCCTTTTTCACTTTGTATGAATGTTTTTTGTCTTTTGGAAAGTAAATCTTTTGATTAATATTAGAGTGAATAAAAATGTAAGGTTTAAACTATAAACCATTAATATAATTTGAGAAAAATAATGGCTGTAACAAATGAGATTGATGTGTGTGTGTACCTGGTATTCCCTACCTATGGGTTCCAAATGTCCCCAAGGATAGTGATTTTGAGGAAAACATCATATAAATCATACAGAATGATCATTTATTTATTGATTTTATTTATTTTTAATTTGGTCTAAAGTGCTGTTTTCCAGTGTGCCTTGCATTGCTTTCTGTAAAGATTTATTAGAATTCATAAAATATAGGTTGTGAAAGGAGCCGTACAATTAAGGCTGACTTGAATTATAATGTAGGTATGGATATTTACCTAATTGGTACCAGGTCCTTAACTGACCTGCTACCAGCCATATGAATTGCATTCTGTGAATACAAATTGGATTTCACACTGCAAAAATTCTTTACATTTACTACATTTACCCGTAGCTCTATTAAAACAAGTGTTCCATTGACAGAATTTCATTGTGCCTGGAAAAGCAGTTTTTAAGAAATACTTAAAAAAAAAATTCATATTGAAATGAAGAGAAGTAACGTGTAGCCTCGGCCAAAGTCAGTGAATGTGGTTATATGACATTGAGGGAATACTGTTGTAGTCTATCAGTGCAAATGCTGAAATGCGAAACATACAAAAGCTATCCAGATAAAACAGCTAAAACAAGCAGAGGCCTTGCATCGAGGGGTCATGAATGCAGTGACTGGTCAATGCATTTATGACCTCTGTGATACACCTGAATCTTGTAAGCATTTATGTTTCTAGTCTGATGCTGGTAGAAATATGTGATGTGGTCATATAAAAGAAAGCAAATATATGAGAATGACTGGCATTCCCTTAATAAGCACAAATTGATACTCTGTTCTTTCAAAGGATTTACATATGAATAAATACATTTTTAAGAGGTTGTCAAATAAAATTGTGCAAGAATTCCAGTTCACCATTAAAGCTGCCCTGAAATTATTCAGATGCACAAAACGTTCGCATTCGTAGAACTACTGTGCATGTACTGTATGTCTCCATTTTCAAGTAAAGGTAAATGTATCCTGATTATTATTCATATGGTTGTTATTCATGTTGTTATGTACCATGCATTTTATCCCTTGACTTACACTAACTCCATCAGAAATTACTTTTGCAGTCTCTCACTTTGGTACTGGATGCACATCACCTAGATCACAGAAAGGTCAACACATTTGTGCACAAAACCTTCAAAATCTGAAGCATTATTATTCTGCAAAGTAAAGGTCGTGCAAAGTAAATAATCATTATTATGAGTATAATTGTCATATTGGATGAAAACATTTTAATTTCACAAACTTATCAGGAATGATTAGTTGGGTTAGTGTTGCATAATAATGTAAACCGATCTAACAAGAATATGTAAGTGATGACGAAATAATACAAAAACATGAGGTTTATTTGTAAAATGGCACTGTGACAGTACACCCCGAAACCTAACCCTCAGAGGGGCATAAGCAGATCATACGATTGAGATTTCTTAAGAATTCACACGAATTAGAAACCAATTCCCTACAAATGATGTTCATGAGTTCATGAGGAGCATGTTCAAATAATCTACCCAATCAGCACAACTTTGCTCAGAGCATGACAGTTTTCCAGCATCCCTCCTCCAGCCCAACTCTTCACTTTCGATTATTCCTATTCCACCCAAGGATGGGGGGAGTACTATGTGTTTGGGTCAAATTTCGAGTTCAGAGCCCTCTCCTCGGACAGTACACCAAATATACGTACTATATCTGATTAAGTGCAAAACCGCAAGCTCTGCTTTTTAATTAAATTAACTGAATGGCATCTTACACTAATACCAGTCTTTTTTGCATTTGGATACATATCCAGAGGGTACTAGAGCTTATACCAGATCCAGCTCAGCTTGATGTTGCTGCCAAATGTCTACAAATTACGACCTGTGCCACGCAATCACTTGGCATTTCAATGGATCAACATCTGCATCTCTTGGCCTTCCATAATAAACCATGAGATGAACTACTTCAGCTTTTGGATGGACACTGGATCTATCTGGACTTTACCATTCATTCCTGGATGTTCCTC